AAATCCAGCATTTTCCCCGCGACCTCTAAAATCCTGACCGATTATTCTGAATGCTTGAAGGACTGTGCAAGACGTGAGGGCTGAGGATGCTTGGTGGGAGGGAGCCTTGTTTGGGAACCGCCATCTCGTCAGCTTAAGAGGTGCGTCTTGCCGACTTACAAGACCTCCTCAGGACAACAAGCCCAGTCCAATAATATAATATAGTATAATATAGTATAATATAACATAATATATAAATAAATATATATATATATATATATATATGTATATATATATATATATAACAATATAATATACTATACTATACTATACTATCCTATACTATACTATAACTCCAACATGGCATAAAAGCCAGTCCATGGCTCGTCCTCTCTTTCGGAATCGGACCAGCTTTCGCTTTCAAAAAGGACCCCACGCACGCATTCAATTTGAGAACTCCGAAGTTGCTGGCCGCCATGTCTTTCTGGGAAGCTCCCCGCGCCGAAAACCATAGATAGGGGTTTCCGAAAATAGGGGACCCAAATATAGCACCCTAAATAGTAGGATCCCTATTATAAGGACCCCAGAATAAGGTACCCCTTGTTTTCGGAAACTCCCAGATGCACCACCGCCGTGTATGCAAAGAATTGCACGGCACTGATGGAGTCTGCGCCAACTTGTTTCAAGCACTCCGCAGCCAATTCGACTTTGTCTTGCACTATCGCGTCCATGCGCGTCGCCTCCCTCCAGCAGCTGCCGTTGCTGAAACGGATGTCCAGCTTCCCGCAGGGAGATAAGGTCCTTGACGGTCGTAATACCGTGCTCACGGTGATGTTAGTGAGAAGGATCAGGACCTGCAAACCTAAACCCCAAATCCACAACCATGCACAATTCTGCGAGACGGCTTTGTCAAAGAACACACGTTTGAGAAACCAGGCCAAACGTTCAACAAAGTTCACTGGCTTGTAGTTGAATGGCATCCCCTCTCAGTCTTGAATACGTGCCCCCCCATCAGACCACAAGGGAACCAAAAAGTGTGCCAACGTACTACCCAGGCAACTGGTACTGTTGACCTAATGGTGTCCAAAGCAGTAGCGGGAATGATTGCATGATTGGTTCACAACTTCTCGAGCCCTCCTGCGTCGCCTAAACACTGAACGCTAAATCCTGAACCCACACTCATCCCAACTCTATCTAGATAGGGCTCGCGTAGGGAGTCGCTGACCTCCTGGCCACACTCCGAAGCATCTGAGAGTGCCCAATGCCCTCCACCGTAAATTATCAGGGGCCCTCAAATAAGGGTAAGGGAGCAGGCCCTTGTCTAGGAACCTGCCTAAGTAGTGGGATCCACATCATACTGACCGTATAGAAACCCAATAAATCCAATAGAAGCCTTAAACCTTAGACGCTCCAAGATCCTAACACCTCTACATAAGCTCGGAAGGAGATGAACATCCGACATAATCATATACTACAATGAGAAAGGTGGTGCCGGTAAACAAACGAATGCGCTTATAATCCCTAAACCTATGGTCGGGGTTTCTCCTAACGCCATTATTTGGATTGCTGTTGAGGGAAGTATTCGGTACATTACGAAAGTTACCAGTTACCAATGGGAATTGTTTCTGGGTGATATTCGGTTGGCGAGTAAGGTCCATCTTGGAGTCAGATCCAGAATGAGGGTTGCCAAAAGAAATGCAATGTCCTTACGATCGGGGGCCAATCACGTTAATGTATGTTACTATATTAACCTTGAAGACGCTGAGCTACAAGGCATCTCCGTTGGGTGAACATGAAACAGAATACTACTCTCACCATTGGGGCAGGGTTAGTCTTAGGGGTATTGTTGTTTGGGAGCAGGATTCAGTCAAGGCTAGCGATCATTCATACGTATGGCTGGGGCTTGGATCTGAGAGCATTGTGAAGGTTATCTTGGGAGTTATCGGGCCCGTATGGAGCTTCGGGTCTTCAGACAGACATGACTTTCATCGTCAGAGAAATCATCTCTCGGAGTATTTGCATCAAGGGTCGCAAGGAATTGAGAAAGAAGGCGGCTGCCGATATACACATACCCTCCCATCGGAACTTCAAAATCTAACTAACGTTAAGCCTGGATCATACACCAGATGCCTAAACTTGGGAGGATTGGTTTCCCTATCGCGTACCTCGCGGTAGTTCTTCGGGGGGCTTAGCATCTGTATCTATGTAGATAGATAGATAGATACATATATATATATATATATGCACGCTGTTTGTATGTACGTTTTCTAATATACATAGCTCTTGCATGGATCACTACAGCCAATCAATCCCCGCCTGGCTCCGCCCATGCTTCGCCAACTCGGAGGAGACTGGCCAGAGCCGGCCCAAGGAAGGAATATCCAAAAGACCTCTCGAAGAGCTTCTTTCAGATATTTTTGGATGGGTTCCTTTAAGGGTGAGTTTCATGTAGGGCTTTCTAGGTGTTTATGGGGTTTCACAAGAGTCCTATAAAGATGCTACCTCTCAGGGCGTTGGTTTCAGTTTCTACAAGGGTTGTAAAAGGATTTGGCTAGGATGCCCGAGGAACACGGACTTGTTAAGTGAGGCTCTACGCTACTAGATTCGGGGCTAGGTATATCTGGCTGGTGGTACCTGTAGAAGACCTACAATATGCGTGCTTTTGGGTTGAGGATTTAGCCTTTAGGGCTCGGGGTTTAGGGTCAAGGAGACTTTCCAAAGAGTCTGTCGTGACTTTGGTCTTGCAGCTCTATGTTGATGAACATTCTGAAACAATCTTGGGCTTTCACTGCATTTTAGGGGACTTGACAATTCGAATAGGCTCTTGGGGGAAATTATACTTCCATAAGGGGAGCCCTCAGGAATAATACTAACAGCTGTTCCGACCACATACATCGGGGGCTTTAGGCTTGTGGTTTTGGTCTCAAGAGAGCTCTGGATGCATCCTAAGCCCTAAACCCTAAACCCCATCCTCTGACCGAAAGAGTCGAAGGCTTCGGTGTGCAAAAGACTGCCCTGCATCCAACCCGAAGTCTCAAACCTGGGCCCCCCCCTTCCCAGAGAGCCCAATGCCCCTTTAATAAGGAATATACCTTAAAATCATAATATTAAAGCCCCTATACTTTAAGGTATATTCCTCAATTAAGGGATAATCCGGCTATCCCTTATGGTGAGGACCGCTTCATGACAATGTAGACCCTGATTGATGAACCAGCCCTCGTTGGCGGCTATTCTACCACCCGGTGCTTCAAGAACGTCTTGACATGTCTTGACCCGCTTTCGGGCTCAAGTCGCGTGTGCACGCTTTTCGACGGCTGTGCTACCTCACCAGCGGCCATTCTCTGACTATTGGCGTTTTGACAAACTGACGACTAACCAACTAACAAGTTGACAAACAAACACAAGCACACAAACACACACTCAGACAGAGAAACAAACAAACACACAAGCAAACAAACAAACAAACAAACAAACACACTCAGACACAAACAAGCTAACTATCAGTTCAACTTACCTAGCTATAAGTTATAAGCCCTAAATGCCCTTCTCCCACTCCCTAGCCAGCCTGGTAGCAAAGTTCCCCAGAGGATCGGGAAATCGCCATCGCTCACCCGGGGTGCCATGCTTTGTGGCAGCGGGGGTTTCTCGATCCCCAAGCTATGGTTTGGTGTTTAGGGTTGAGGGTAAGTGAAACGTCGTGGCGTTGACCACGCAACTGCATGTCTCCCACACTGTTTGGGGTAATGTATGGTTTGGGGCTTAAAGTTAGGGTTCAGGGTATCAGGCCTTGAGAATTTGACTGGTTTTAAAGCGGAATGTGGGGACGATGCGGGGATAGGATTAACTTTCTAGCGGCCGGGTATGGCTTCCCTACCCAGTTCCTTTCATACATGCTGTGCATTCGGGGTGTCGGCATAGTGATGTTCCAACTTACAGCGGCTTCTACAGTGTTTAGGAAGGCCTAAACCAACCTCAGCTCTAAATAAACATGGCTGCGATGATCAGAAGGCGAGTTGCATAGTACTAATGGAACCTGTGATGCTACTGCTCTTTTTACTCCTCCTCCTCCTCCTCCTCCTCCTAGCACCAATACTTTTACTATTACAACGACGACGATGTTGTTGACGACGACTGCCCATATGCTAGATGTGTAAACGGGTCTAGGATGCAGGGTTTCGCATTGCCAGTGCTGTCAGCCCTATCCCGCATCAACGGCAAAAGACTCAGGATCGTAGCATCTCTACCCGTACTAACTAACCAGATTGAACTGCTAGACCCCACAACCCTAAAATCGAAATCCTACACTCTAAATGTTTCTTATCGTTTCGAACACAAAGCCTGCAGAACAAGAACCTGTAGCTCTAAACGCTACAAAGCCTAAGCCCCGGAACCCCCACACCTCCAAGCCCCAGACACCAGACACCCTCAGTTTCAAACCCTAAACCCTAAACCCTAACCCCTAAACCCTAAACCCTACAACGTTCAACTCAAAAGCCAAACTCTACAGTAGACCTGCAGGCTAGGTCCCCCCCAAGACACCAGTACAGGACCACAGCCCTTGAGTCTCAACCACAAAACCCTAAAAACTAAAGGGTTTAGGGTTTAGGGGTTTAGGGGTTTAGGGCTTAGGGTTTAGGGTAACCTCAACACCCTTGTAGCTTAAACCTCTAAGTGCTACGTAGAGCCTCCTAAGGCTAACACTCTTAACCCTAAACTCCAAAGTCACAGCTTGAAACCCCTAAAGGGCTACCCCCCCAACGAACCCCCAAGCCCTGAAACCCCAAAGTTCGTAGAAACCTTTCCAAATAAATTTCAAATACAAGCTATATAGACATTTTGCAAGAACCTATCTTATAACCCCTTAAAGGAGTACTTGGAGGTTCATGGGTAGTTATAAGTGGAGTTACAAGTACCCTAATATAGGTTATAACTATAGTTACCCTACTTATAACCCTACTTATAACTACCCACGAACCTCCAAGTAGGCCCTTGAATGGAAACCTTAGAAGGGGCTCTTTCGCCTTCATCCTCGACCTCTGCTGCGGTGCGGAGCTCGAAGCGGCGGCCACTCCTTTCTCGGAGATGCGTCAGAGTTTAGGGTTTAGGGTTTAGGGGTTTAGGGTTTAGGGTTTAGGGGTTTAGGGTTTAGGGGTCTCGACTGCGATTGCAGCTCTCGCAGAGCTCTAAACCCTAGCCCTAAAACCCAAAGGGTTTAGGGTTTAGGCAGAGCCATTGGCGATGTTAATGCTTGCTTGATGGGATTGGATAGCCAAAGGATCTTGTGTTACAGTTTACTCAAGATTTCGGGTTGCTTGCTTCTAACGGAGCGATGGGGAATTAGCATTTGGTCCAAGTTGGCGGTTGTTTTAATTGCGGGCTCTAGCGGGGGTTTGGGATGTGTGCATCTTTTCTTGCAAGCTCATCCCTCCTCGCGTCTGCTTGCCAGGCAAGCATACGGCAAACCAGGCAAACATACGGCAAATGTCTGCTGCACTGTCCTTCATGACTGACTATTGAGTATTGAGCTACCCGTCCTATGCCCATGTGTGACTCTGTAAAATGCATACTTACTAAGTCACCCCCTCCCTCCAAGTAAGGTTTAAGGTTTGGGGTTTAGGCTCCGGCGAGGGCTCGGGGTTCGACGGTTTCAACAGGCGTCTTAGGGTTTGGGATTTAGGGTTTGGGGCTTTGGATTTTGTTGGCTTTTGAGGTTTAGGGCTCAGAGTTTAGAGATTTTGGGCTTCAGGGTTTAAGATTTTAAGGGGTTAGAAATTACGGGTTGAGGGGTTTCGGGGGTTAGGGTTTTAGGATTGAGGCGGTTCAAGGGGTTTCAGGGGTTGAGTCCGAGAGTGCTAGGGACCTATAGTTGCTACAGTTATCCTACTTATAACCCTGCTTATTAACTACCCATGAACCAAGTAGGAGTTCCTTTAAGGTTCCTATAAGGACTATTCCGAATTATTCCTGTAGTTAAATACTCAGTGGACTGAGGTTTTGAGGGGCTTCCATCGGGCGTTGAAGGGATTTCGAGGCATACCTAAAGGATCAGTGAACTTAAGTAGGCGAGGTTCCAGGCTTTAAGGGGTGGTGCAGGGCTTTATCAAGGTTTTCCGATGACCCGAGGATCGGCGTCCAAAGCCCTGGACCCTACCTGGAGGTTCATGGGTAGTTATAAGTGGAGTTATAAGTCCCCCAATATAGGTTGTAACTATAGTTACCCTACTTATAACCCTACTTATAACTACCCATGAACCTCCAAGTATGACCCCTTATAGGACCCCTTATAGGATCCCTTATAGAACTCTCTTATAGATCCCTTAAAAGGGAGCCTTATA